CCACTACTACCATCACCACCACAAGCAGTACCATCATTACCCACTACTACCATCACCACCACCAGTACCATCATTACCCACGACTACCATCACCACCACAAGCAGTACCATCATTACCCACTACTACCATCACCACCACAAGCAGTACCATCATTACCCACTACTACCATCACCACCACAAGCAGTACCATCATTACCCACTACTACCATCACCACCACCAGTACCATCATTACCCACTACTACCATCACCACCACCAGTACCATCATTACCCACTACTACCATCACCACCACCAGTACCATCATTACCCACTACTACCATCACCACCACCAGTACCATCATTACCCACTACTACCATCACCACCACCATCATTACCCACTACTACCATCACCACCACCAGTACCATCATTACCCACTACTACCATCACCATCACCAGTACCATCATTACCCACTACTACCATCACCACCACCAGTACCATCATTACCCACTACTACCATCACCACCACCAGTACCATCATTACCCACTACTACTATCACCACCACCAGTACCATCATTACCCACTACTACCATCACCACCACCAGTACCATCATTACCCACTACTACCATCACCACCACCAGTACCATCATTACCCAATACTACCATCACCACAAGCAGTACCATCATTACCCACTACTACCATCACCTCAAACAGCAACCTCCACCGTCATCAGGGTGAGTGTGTAAAGCGAGGTGCAATGATTACAGCCCTTTCATTGGTGGAAGCCCATCGCCAGCACCATCGTTGCCCATCACCGACATTAACATCAGCTGCCCGCCCACGCTGCTGACACTTGGGCTACGCCATGTTAAACCTTTATTAACAATTTGCCTTGAGACGCCAACCCTGATGACGACCGCTGGTGTTGCGATCGAAACGTTGTGGTTTGTATTGTTTTATTCACTTACATTTTTTTCGATGTGACTTTACCGAAAGAACCAAATAATACTGGTAGGAACCTCCTGGTTACACCAACCCACAGGGGATTATTGTGTCCGTCCGTCGTGCAGGAAGGGGCTGGGAGGGGCTGGGTGGGGGGTGGGGCTGGGTGGGGAGGGTGGGGCTGGGTGGGGGGTGGGAGGGGTGGGGCTGGGTTGGGAGCACACGGTCCAGTGGCCTCACTGTGGCTGCTGCACCGCTGAACCGCAGCTTGCAGCAGGACAGGGAGCACGTGGTCCACTGTGGCTGCTGCACCGCTGAGCCGGAGCGTGCAGCCGCAGCAGGAGAGTCGTCGTCTCGCTGCCCGTGAGCCAGGACATCCCGTGCCAGGCTGGGCCGTCCCTCTCCCGTCCATCTGCGTGGCCGCTGTTGTTGACCGTGGTAGTGGTTTTGGTGGTGTTGGTGTTGTTGGTGATGGTGTTGTTGACCATGGTGGTGGTGATGATGGTGGTGTTGGTGGTGATGGTGGTGGTTTTGGAGCCGTCGATGTTCGAACCCCCACGCCGAGATCCTCCGGGGAGTTCCACCATCGACTGCGTTAGCAGCAAAACCACCACCACCATCACCACCACCACCACAGTCGTGAAGATCGCCGTGGTGGTGGTGGTGAGCAGCAGAACCACGGCGACCTGCACAGCCGTGAAGATCACAGCCGTGGTGGTGTGGTGTTGGTGATAGTGGTGGTGTTGGTGGTAGTGGTGGTGTTGGTGGTAGTGGTGGTGGTGTTGGTGGTGGTGGTGTTGGTGGCGAGCAGCAGAACCACGGCGACCTGCACAGCCGTGAAGATCGCCTGGTGGTGGTGGTGTTGGTGGTGTTGGTGGTGTTGGTGGTGTTGGTGGTGATGGTGTTGGTGATGTTGGTGGTGATGGTGTTGGTGGTGATGGTGTTGGTGGTGATGGTGTTGGTGGTGATGGTGTTGGTGGTGTTGGTGGTGATGGTGTTGGTGATGGTGGTGGTGTTGGTGGTGTTGGTGGTGATGGTGTTGGTGGTGATGGTGTTGGTGGTGATGGTGTTGGTGGTGTTGGTGGTGATGGTGGTGATGGTGTTGGTGGTGATGGTGTTGGTGGTGATGGTGTTGGTGGTGATGGTGTTGGTGGTGATGATGGTGTTGGTGGTGGTGGTGTTGGTGGTGATGGTGTTGGTGGTGATGGTGTTGGTGGTGATGGTGTTGGTGGTGATGGTGTTGGTGGTGATGGTGGTGATGGTGATGCTGGTGGTGATGGTGTTGGTGGTGATGGTGTTGGTGGTGATGGTGTTGGTGGTGATGGTGTTGGTGGTGATGGTGTTGGTGGTGATGGTGTTGGTGGTGATGGTGTTGGTGGTGATGGTGTTGGTGGTGATGGTGTTGGTGGTGATGGTGTTGGTGGTGGTGTTGGTGGTGATGGTGTTGGTGGTGATGGTGTTGGTGATGTTGGTGGTGGTGGTGTTGGTGGTGATGGTGGTGATGGTGGTGGTGATGGTGTTGGTGTTGGTGGTGATGGTGTTGGTGGTGATGGTGTTGGTGGTGATGGTGATGGTGTTGGTGGTGATGATGTTGGTGGTGATGGTGATGGTGTTGGTGGTGATGGTGTTGGTGATGTTGGTGGTGGTGGTGTTGGTGGTGATGGTGTTGGTGGTGATGGTGTTGGTGGTGATGGTGTTGGTGGTGATGGTGTTGGTGGTGATGGTGTTGGTGTTGGTGGTGTTGGTGGTGATGGTGGTGATGGTGGTGGTGATGGTGTTGGTGTTGGTGGTGATGGTGTTGGTGGTGATGGTGTTGGTGGTGGTGGTGTTGGTGGTGATGGTGTTGGTGGTGATGATGTTGGTGGTGATGGTGATGGTGTTGGTGGTGATGGTGTTGGTGATGTTGGTGGTGGTGGTGTTGGTGGTGATGGTGGTGTTGGTGGTGGTGTTGGTGGTGTTGGTGGTGGCGAAGTTCTCTGAAGCCCGAGAAGTGGAGCAGCAGCGCTGGGCGAGGTGGCCGCCTCGACCAGGAGACTCCACTCTGCCCTCTGCTGTGACGTCACCGTGACGTCACAGCTTTCCACGGCTGTTACGTCACATGAAGCAGTTGTCACGTGGCTGCGCCATGTCACACCGCCACGTGATGCAACACGGAATCGTTTATAGAATTGGAATACAATAGTATGATTTACATTTCACTTATACCCATTAACGTCATGGATTCAACAATGCAACATTAAAGTTGTATTTATTTAACATTGGTGCTTGTAAAACGTTTATTAGAATGTTTCATGCAATATCTCTTATTTCTAGCACATTATTTCTCCATTAAAGATGAAGGGCCATTGCCCGAAACGTCACCTGTTCTATAGTTTCTTTGACGGCCACAGTTAATGGATTTGTTAGAGCTGTTGTTTGTGAACCACTGCCAAGGCTGCAGCATCATCACCGTGCATTTGTTCTGTCCGTCTGCTTGTAACGGGGGGTGGGGTCAGGGCAATTCTCGTAGAGTTGATCTGATTTGAGTGCAACTTGAGTGGAAAGTTGCGTTGCTGGTGGGGACTCAACCTGGAGAGAGCCGGCCACGTGGCTCACAGGGCGAGAGTTGTGTGTAAATCTGCCGAGCAGTGCCACCCAAGCACATGCCACGGTACAATGGGTGAGAGCAATCAATATACTGTAGAGGTACTGTGGACAGGGGCGGCAAGCAGCTGGAACAATGGTGCAAGTTTATGATAAATATTCACAAATGGTTTCGAAATGCAGTGTCTCATCAGCAGTCGAGCTCGCTTGAACCATCGGTTCAAACACAAGCACCATTCTGCAGGAATCTCAGTCCTTTAGCGGCTCATCAGCGTCCCTCAGCAAACTTGTTGTGATCAATGCCGGGCAGCTTTCTGTACCCCGTGCCCAAGTAGAAACACCGCATCAGGTACTCACGAGTTGACCCTTAAGCGACTCATCAGCAAGGTCAGACGTGAGCCACCTGGTCATCACGGGCACAACTCGGCAACAGCGTCCACAAGAAATGCTTCGTCAGAAGTCACTGTTTGCGAGAAACGATGCTGCTGGTACCGACAGTTGTAGACGACATTCTACACATGAAAAACTATCGAACACAACACAAATGCTTCGATTTGCAGCCCATTAGTAACAAAACAGATGAGTTGTGTAAAACTACTTTTGTTAATTTGCAGACACGGGCCGATTTTCCTGTTGCATGATCCCAATGGATGTATTCGCAGGTAACTTTGGCTGCATTGGGACGTTGATCCAACTTGAGTTCAAGGTGTCTGTGGGTATATAGCTGTGGGAGGAAACCCATGCAGGACAGGGGAAGAGCATGCAAACTCCACACCCACATTGCAGAACCCAGGGTGAGGACACACATGCCACACGGAAACGCAAGAGCATCAGGAATCGAACCCAGGTCCTTTTTGCTGAGGCACAAGCGTTGCACTGCCCCCACCTCCCTGCAGCTTCTGGAACATGTCCACGATCTCGCCATTAGTACCGTATTCTCTCTACACAGCAGTTTTTTCCAGATTGACCTCAAAGTTTGAGTGACATTACATAAGATGAGAGGCCTACTCCATCCAGTCCTTCCCATTGTGCTTGGATTCATACCATCAGCCAGCCGACCTTCTGGGAGTGCATCATTGCAACAACATTGGTTCTACGTCAGCAGCACTTGGGACCGGTTGTCGACATTCAGCCTTTCACCAGCAGCGGGAGAGTCGGGCTTTGCTCAAGACGCCGGTGAACTGCCGAGATGTTTCAGAGGCCTTTTGCTGGGCACCTTCCCAGAGCATCCTCGACATTGCAGAAGCTCATTCACAGCCCCCAGGTGGAGACGTGCAACATTGTCAACTGCCGTTCGACACGTCACTTGTGCCAGCCTAGGTGCACCTCGAGGCCCATCCCCAGGACACGTGCGAGGTTGACGCCGTTGGCCAGGTCACTGGCAGACCCCCACGCGGCATGACCCGTCCATCAACCGAGGCGGCCGTGCACGAGCAGCGACGACCACACCGAGGGGACAACACAGACGCAATGCCACAACCGTGGAACGGTGTTTGTTGAGTTGTTGTTTTTTATATTAAAACATAAAAGCCAGAATATTTGTCAATAAAAAAAACGACAACGGACAAAGAACCGGAGGAACAAAACTCAGCCACCAGCATTCGGAGGAAATGAAATAAATAAAGAGGGGGGGGGGGTGGGGGAAGCTCCTACGAAGGGTGTGGGGGGACATGCGGCGGCAACGGTTGTGTGGACACAGCCCCCCCCCCTCAACACGAACCCCTCACCGTGGCCGGCTAACGCGTCCTGTACACAGGCTCGCCACATCGACACGAGCATCGCAGCCGGGCAAACGCGGCGTCTGTCGGCAATCCGGCGAGGGAGGGGAGCGGGGGGGTGAAGGTGGGAACTTATGGCGGTGTGCCGGGGAAAGTTGGTGTCAAAGTCTCTCTCTCATCTCCCTTCTCAGCCCCCCCTCCCGTCACCCGTCCTCAGCTTAAAAAACGCCGGCACAGTTAACGGCACACCACCATTCACGCGCAGGCATGGGACACGTCTTTACACGCACACTCTACACATATGCTTACCCCGCTAATGTACAAACCCACCCACCCTCCCGCCCTCTCCCCCCAATCGCAAATGTACAAACAATCCCATCTCCCCCTTACCCCCGTAACGCAACGTCAACACAAACACGCGTCGCTACGCCTTGCTGGCCGCCGGCGTGGCAGGGAAGTTGACAAGAACACACAGGGCCCCGGGAAGATCTCCCTCCGGTGAACACAAAGCAGAAGTGTAAACTGTTAAGTAATTCTATGCGTTTACATAGAAGCGTTCTAAACTCTCAAGGGGATTCTTTCTCGCGGTCACTTTAAAGTCAACCGCGCGGCGACGTTTTGACACTTAGCACCGAGAACGCAACGAAGACATCGGTCGTCATGCTCCTCCACACAACTTGGAACCTCCGAGCGGGGAATCATGAACCGAATCCAAGCGAAGTGGCTGGCACAGGAAGCAAGCGCAGGCAACGCCGTGCACATTACCGCACACAGAATCCCAACAGCCGCCCCACACGCAGCCAGCCAATGGGAACAACTCTCTGCGCCCCCCCCCCCCTCCCGGTGAATGTGGCGGAGTGGTCTACTGACGTGGCGTCACGGGAACAACCCCCCCAGTGAAGGTCGCCACCTCGTCGGCTCGCATCGACCGCCATTCACGATGCCTTTATTTGACAAATGTTCACGTTCCGAGCAGCGACAACAACAACGGGGAAAACACCTGAAGGTCAACGCGAGTTAACAGAAATTAGACCAACCGGTCCCTCCCCGCCGCTCTCTCCGCTGGCGTGCAGACCCCCCCCCCCCAGCACCGGTGGAGAGTCCGAGGGGCGAGCGAGCACCGTCTGTACACGGTGGCGGTGGGGGGTGGGGGGGTGAGCAGCGACGCTGGCACCGGCTCCTCGCGCAGCTAAAACGCACGCTTCCACAGCCCTCGCAGCAGCAGCTGCCGCCACCGGATCCTGGACACACTCCCGGGATGACGTCTCTCGCTGTGTCGATTCGCGTCCCAAGGTCCTCCTCCTCCTCTCCCAGCGCCACGGCTTCTTTGAGTCTCCTCCGCAGCAACTTCCACAAAGACCACATTTTGTCTCAATGGCCCAGCGGGCCTGGGTTCGTCACCCGCCCTCTCTCTCAAATCGCGGAGGGGGGGGGGGGGCTGTCGATTTCTAAACCGCCGCCACGTGGTCCACTTCCCAGTGCGTCTCCTGCTCGGCGGTGACGGCGGATGCAGTTGGAGGAGAAAAACACGAGGGGGGAGGGGGTAGGGGGTGTGACCCCGCGGTTCCCACACTGGGCTTAGGATGCCAGGGATCTCAAATCTTCGCTCATCGTTGGCGTTTGTCGTCCATCTGCGCTCGCTCAGAGTTGTAAAAGTCTCATCGTTTCTCCTCCTCCTCTCGCCATTACGAAGATTTCTCTTTTTTTACCCACCACCCCAAACAACCCGCGAGAGAGTTCCCAGTCCCGTCGATCGCAGCAAAAACGCATGGCAGTTCTTTCATAAAGTATTAAATAAAACTACGACGACGACGGCAATAACACCTCCGCCGATGGGCGCGGCGGCGGCGGCGGCGAGCAGTCGTCCACTCCGCACCGGCGCGTCGGTCGGCCCCAATCCCGACGTGCACCCTCCCTGCCACCGTATCGAGCCGGGGCGGTCACGGGCGAGCGGGCGGTCACCAGGCCGGCCGGCCGGCGCACGGGCGAGTCGAGGTGGGCGCTGCCGTCTCCACCGGTCGGCACAAGCCGCCGCCGCCGGCGGGCGCCGGCTCGGCACGGCAGTCTCCTTGCGCTCCTTTGGTCGTCGCCGACAGGACCGGCGACGCTGGCGCCGACGTCGTCCGCCGACGACCAGAACGGGGTTGGGGGGCGGGCGGTGGAATTAGTGATGCCCGGACACGGGGAAGGAGTCAGCCGGAGTCCGAGTCGCTGGTGTCGCTGGAGGTGCTGGAGCCGCTGGAGGTGCTGGAGCTGCCCGAACTGGAGGAGGACGACGAGGAGGAGAGACGCGACGCCACCCCGGGCCCCTGCGCTTCCACCGGCTTGTCCGCTGCACACGCGTGTTCCACAAGCACACGCGTGTTACAAGAGCACGCGCGGGGCACACACACAGGCTCCCCACCCCCACGACAGACTGCTGGACCGAGCGCGGTTAGCGAGTCGCACCGATAAGGGAGGCACAGCACCCACGGGGCTAATTGGCCAGCACCACGCCAGGCCACTGCAGGTGTCACGGTCGAGATCGAACCCACGACCTCCTGAAAACCACGCGGAGCACCTTTAGACGAGGCCACGAGTGGAGAGGGGGGGCTCGATGGGGATGCAGGATGCCCCCAGCCCCTTGCCGAGAGAGGGGAGTGGGTATAAGAGGAGCGAGTGAGGTGGAGGGGCGAGAGACGAGGCGAGTGAGGGCTCCCTCACCCTTCTTCTTGTTGTTGTTGTTGGGCGGCTTCTTGGTGGGGTTGAGCTGGCCGCTCACATCCTGCAGCCTCCTCTCCAGCTCCCGCTTCTTCTCCAGCGCCAGCTCCTCCCGGCTCTTGCCGGCGGTCTTCTTCACCGCTGCGGCACAAAGACAAAGATCCCCCGTTTAGCCTTTAACAGACCGAGGCAGGCAAGTGATGTTATAGCGAGCGACGCCTGCGAAGGAAAGCATGGCACCAGGGTGGGTGGCCAGCACCACGCCCGGCCGCCTTTGTCTCTCCGAGTTGCGACGTATACGACGCACCGCACAAGGTGCTCACTTGAGGCCGTGTCGACCTAGGGGAGGGCCAGGAAATGTTCGGATAATCGTCAACGGTGTTGGTGACCGCGAGCGGGAATCGAATTTAGGTCGTAATCGGGTTCGTAGCAGCGCTACCCGCGACACATCGCACACACCCCCCCCCCCCCCGCCGTATAGCCTGAACAGACTCGAGGTACAAGAGCTGTTCACGAGCCAGCATCGACGAATGGCCGATACACACGACACAAGAGGGGGGGGGGGGTTGTGGATGGGTTGGGTGGTGGCAAGCACCACGCACGCCCGGCCGCCTTGTTCTCCCACGTGGCGACGTTCACACGGCTCGTTGGGCCACACGCACGGGCGCCTGCATGCGCCCCCCCCCCCCTCACCACCGGGCTTACGTGGCTTCTTGCGGAGGCAGGACATGACGTAGCGCTCGAGCTCGCGCAGCGTCGACGGCTTCAGAGTCTCAAAGTCGATCTCGATCTCGGGATTTGAGTTCCGCAGGGACGGCTCGCGCGCCTGCATCCGTGGAGAACCGCGGGCACGGCCGGTGAGAACCACACGCACGGCCACGTGGACAGAATCAGGCAACCTTGACCTCAAGACCGGGAGGAATCCGATGAGCTGTAAAGCTTTGTTCACACACAGCGCACACGTGTCCAGTACCTGGATGATGTGCACGACACGGCCCAGCTTGTCCCCGGGCAGCTTGTTGATGTCAAGGCTCAGCTGCCGCTTCTCATCGTACGACATCGGCTTTGCCTCGTCCTCCTCATCAGAGTCAAACGGGGGCACCACCGCAGCCGCCGCCTTCGCCTTCTTGGACGGTCTGGCGAGAGAGACAAAGCGGGATGTGGGGAGGGGTGATGAGGCAATTATAGAGCAGCAAGGAGAGGGACGAGGTGATGGTGGAGCCTGACCAGCTTGCGCAACTCGACCGACGACGAGCGTGGCTGACATCAGCGGCAACGGTGGGTGACATCAGTACCGGTACCTGTACACCCGCCCCCCCCCCCCCCACAGCAATTCACCAGTCAGGTGTGCAGTATGGCCAAGCAAGCCTCAAGAACAAACACGGCGTGTTGGGAGGCCTTTTTCCCATCCAGCAGTGGATTGACGAAGGGCTGCACGATGGCTGTGAATTAATACCGGCCAAGACCAAACATTCTCTCCCTCTCTCTCGCCGCTCTGCGGTTCCCGTGCAATCGCGAACCGATCTACACTCCCCATCCTGGCCTCGGCACTGCGTCAGCGTTCATCCCCTCACTCTTGAGAGAGACAGAGTCGCCATCGCTCAGATTCCTAATTCGCTTCGGTGCTCCGCTTGTATTTGCGTTGTTACTTTTGCCGCGTTACTCTTGCAAACTACACTCCCTACACCGGATCTCTCTCAAGTTCTCACCTAGGTCAAACGAAATAAACTCGTGGGGAAATTGCTACCACCCCTTTGGTCGGTGGTGACAATTCCACATTCCTATGGCAGGACCCCACACGTGCAGCAAAACTCACCTGGCCAAGGGTCGGAAGGTGACCTTGCCGTTTCCGCCTCCCGTGGTGCCGCGCCGCCCACCACCACCCTTCTTCTGACCGCCGCCTCCTCCTCCACCACCACCACCACCACCACCGCCGCCGCCGCCACCTCCTCCTCCTCCTCCGCCGCCTCCACTCCCACCTCCCTTGACACCTCCCTTGGCGGTGTTGGGCCTGAAGTCCTCGTCCTTGCGCGCCCGCTCGCGCTCCCGCTCGCGCAGCTTCTCCTTCTTGCGCCGCTTCTCCTTGCGCTCCTTCTTCTTGGGCTTGCAGATGGGGCCCTGCGACAGCGCCGCCAGCTGCTCGTGCACGGCTCGCAACTGCGGGGACGCAAACAATGCAAAGATTACCCGGGTAGCCTTTAACAGATTGCTGGGGCAAGTGCTGTTACAGTAAAAAAACATTCTTAAACCAGGTTAAGGCCCACCGAGTTTTTAGCTCATTTTCAGAAGCGACCTGGACCACCACAATTGACAGCTCAACCAAGTGGCGGCTTATTGTCATGAGGAAATGTATAGCAGCCAAACACTCTAAACCCACATCGATTCTAAAAGTGGAGGGAAAGACCGGAGGACCCAGAGAAAAATCCACGCGACCACAGGGAGAGAGACACGCAAACTCCAACTATACACAGTAGGCGTCAGGGTCGGGATCGAACCCAAAACCTCCCTACACACCAGGCGAGGGAGTTCACATCTCGCCACCGCCTGTGCAAACCGGCAAGGTGGCTAACACCACTCTACCACGCCGGCCCGGCCACCTGCGTCTCCCCAGCGCTCATCTTTTAAACCCACCCAACACAATGTACATGTGTGATGATGCAGAGTCGATCTAGGGGAGGGCCCCGGACAGGTTCAAATATTAGTCGTCGCTGCGATTGGGCGCGAGCGGGAATCGAACGCGGGTCGCCAGGTTTGTAGCGCGAGGTGCAAACCACTCCACTACGACTCCCCACTAAGACAAAGATCCCCAATAGCCTTAACAGACTGTTGGGGCAAGAACTGTTCGCAAGCACCTATGAAGGCCGGCACAGAAGCACAAGGGGGTGGGTGGCCAGCACCACGCACGGTCGCCTTTGTCTCCCCAGTGGTGATGTTTACACACTGCACCAGATACTCATTTGAGGCAGGGTTGACCTCGGGGAGGCCCAGGACCAGTTCAGATAATCGTCACTGGTGTTGGTGGCCATGCGTGGGAACTGAACTCAGATCGTAGAAGTCACACCGTAACCGCTATGGCTACCGCTACACATCTTCTCACCCACACACCCCCCGCATAGCCTGAACAGACTGTCGGGGCAAGTGCCGAGCAAACAACGCGAGATTCCAACTTTAGTCGGCGGGTTCGTGGTGCAGCGCGCTACCCGCGACTGCTCCCCACGACACACAGACAGACACACACACAGAACAAATAGTATCACTTGGCATTGGGTGGCCAGTCTGGCTCTGTGGAGGGAAAGTAAGCTACAAGGTATGCACGTGTATGCTGAACGTCTTTTCGCACCGTACGTAGCCAACTGTGTCGTCAAGCGTATAAACAATTGGGGGCGGTGACGCGGCCCAGCACTGCATGCGTTCACCGCTTGTCGCAGAGGGATTGAGCGGTTCGAAATAGGCGGGCCGCCCTGGTCGAGTGCGTGAACACCACACTGCCCTCCCCCCCCCCCCCAATACATTTCAGACCCAGACCAACTGAAGAGAATCGCGTGACAAAAGTCTTGACAAAGACGAGACGTAATGGTTGCGTAATCACTCGGCGTCCCTGGGGGATAAAAAGTAAATAACAGGATAAATAACGCTTTCCTCCCACATTTATCAATCCACAAATAGTAGAATTTTTTACACCACCCATCACAGCTGCAAGACCTTCTGGGATTGCAACCTATAAGCAGCGTATCTTACAGAATGGGTCCTCGCCTCTAAATATCTGAAAGTTCACCAGCATTGTTTCAAGCAGATCCCCGACTGCTACTGAATGTCGAAGCCAGCCCTTGCCTATACACATCTGGCAGTTCGCCCGCAATGGTTCAACCAAAGCCCGACTGCTAACGAGACACCGAATGTTATAACCGGTCCAGAATGTTGCTTCTGCTGAACCAAGATGCTTTCCCAGAAGGTCGTGGGCGGCCGATGAGTTGCGTGGTAAACTTTTTTTTACGTGGAGAGATAAATATGGGACGGGAGGCGTTTGTTATCGTTTGTCTATCGGTACGTACCTAGGCCGAGTGTCCCAGGCTGTCCCCCACCACATGAGCCTGAAGCTTCGTTACGACTAGGAAGAAAATAACACTTTGAAGTTACGGGTCAACGCGCGTCGGCGCTAGGAGCACGGCAGCGGGGAAACGTCACCGCAACATCGCACCCCCGGAGATTCAAAACGCGTTGACCGAGACACTAAATCGACATCTCCGCAAAGCGCCGAGGCAAGCGCATGTCTGACCAAAAACTTTATAGGGTCTTTGTATTTTGATTTATAGTTAACGAAGCTTCAGAACAACACCTCCGAGTCGGCAAGCCGAGGGAACTCTCGGCTGGGTATGCATCGACAACGACGATGGCTCAATTTTTAAAAATCTAAAAAATTTTTTTGTTCAGGTGATTTGCCACCCCACCCCAACACGCAATCCCCATCGCAAGAGTAATGACGTCCACTCGTAACCCTGTGCCGCCGCCGCCGCCACCGACGCACGGGATTTGTGCTGCTCTCGCAGAGAGAGACAGGACGACTCAGAGGCACGAGGAGGAACCCAACCTCGGGATGGGTAAGCGATAGGGTGAGGGAAATGGGGAGTGATATGGCCATTGATAGGGTGAGCGGCGAGTGAAAGGGCGAGCGAGCGATAGGGCAAGCGAGTGGATGAATGAGCGATGGGGCAAGAGAGTGGATGAATGAGCGATAGGGCGAGAGAGTGGATGAATGAGCGATAGGGCGCGCGGCGGCGGTGCCTATAGGCTCCCCACCTGCTCCTGCAGCTCCGCCAATCGGTTGGCTCGCTCCTCCTCCGAGTCGGAGCTCTCGCTGCCCGAGCTCTCGCTGCCGCTGCTCGACGACGAGGAGGAAGAGGACGAGGAAGAGGACGACATCGAGTCGTCCTCGTCGCCCCGGTGGTCCCCCATGCTGTTGTCGGGCCGCAATTGCTGCTGCTGTAGTTGTTGCAGCTGTTGCAACTGCTGGAACTGCTGCAGTTGAAGCTGGAGCTGCTGCTGCTGCTGTTGGTGGTGGTGGTGATGGTGGTGGTGGTGGCGGCGGCCGCTGCTGCCACCGCCTGAGTGTGGCGAGGGTACGGTGAGCGAGAGATTCGCTTCCGGGGGCTCGTCCGGCATTTTGGCGAAGCGCATCTCAAACACGTCCTGGGCAGGGGCCAGACAGAGAAAGTTGGTCAGTGACTCTCACCTGCATGGACTGCACGTGTGTGTGTGTGTGTGTTGGGACTTCGTTTGGCTACGTACGGTGCGAAAGTACTAAAATCAGGAGGCGAGGGGCAAGGACAAACTAAATACAAAGAACAGTTCTACACAAATTAGTTTTTAATCTAGTATCGCGGTGTAGAGTGGAATATTTAGTGTACAGTGGAACGTATAGTTTAGTATTTAGAAATTAATTTGCACCATGCGTCGCCCAACCGTGCTAATCGGAGATGCTGGGGGGGGGGGGGACAAACTAACACCTGGATATGAATTAAGGTACCGCTGAGAATCTGGACTAAACAAATCCAGGTAGCTGCTCACGATTAAACAAGGATCTCAAGCATCACCAGTGTCTCAAGAGAGCCGTAGACGCGGAGAGATCCACACACTCATATTGACTTGAGTTTAAGCGAGTTAAAGTGATACCCACACACTCGCACAGTTCTGATGATTTTAAAATGGACCGAGTTGACTCTCAGTCCCCCCTCCCCCCGTGGCTGCCACAATACAACACCCATCAAACAAAATTAGTTTCTGCACTTAAACTTGGCTAACGTCCACACCTCTGGATAAAATAAAAACAACATCAGCGGTTGGACCGCCACATTCGCCAAAATTTCAGATGCACTCCTGGAGCCGTCTGGAAACGCTCTTTTCTTCTGATATAAGCCACTGGAGCTATGCACTTTCAAATCGTCTAAATTGAAAACGTATTTCTTTAGAACTGCTTTGTGTTTTGCCACGGTCAGCTACGTACGGTGCGAAACAAATTCAACATACATACAATCGATTCTTAGTCTCGCGACGCTGACAGCGAGTGGGATATGTTGAGATGGGAGCGGACGTGAAGACGCTGTTTTGTTGGTCTCACCTGCAGCTTGCGCGCCATGGAGACGACGTCGTGATCCGGCGGGTTGTACTTGTAGCAGTTGGAGAACATGACCCGCACGTCCGCAGCAAACTCCTGCGCATCCCGGTAATCCCGGTTGTCCATCTTATTCTGTGTGCCCAACAACAAAAGACAAAGATCCCCCCCACCCCATGGAGCCTTAATACGACTGTTGGGAAGTGCCCCGTTTGCGAGTAGCGCCGATGCAAGCCGGCACGGCACACGAGAGGGTGGGTGGTACAGCACCACCCACACACGCCCGCCCGGCCGCCTTTCTCTCCCCAGTGGGGAAGTTCACACATCGCACCAGGTACTCATTTGAGGCACAGTCAACTAAGGGGAGGAGGCCCAGAAAAGGTTCAGATAATCGTCACCTGGCGTTGGAAGCGAGCGGGAATCGAACTCGGGTCGTCGGGTTCAGAGCGCAGTAAGCCAACCGTGACACTACCACTCCCTATACTCACACACCCACCCACTCAATCAAACACCCACCCATCCATCGATCCATCCACCCACACAACTCAAGTCAAATCCTGATTCATAGCAGAGAGAAGTAGAGGGTGATGTTACTGTGTGTGCACGGGTTATCCCAATTGAGTGTCGTGCCGGCAATTTTCGAATTTAGTTCATTTGGAACCCTCACGCCGGTACACAAAGGTCTACACTTGCAAATGACGGCACGCGTGATCGTGGTTAATACCACCGCCGACCCCGTAGCATTAACCAGGGCGGCCGCCGGATTCGAAGCTCGAACCTCCACGACGGGCTGCGAACGCAACCCCCTTTGTGACAAGCTCACCGTGCGCGGTACATCGCGAGGGGAGGGGGGGAGGGACGAGGGGAGGGGGGCGCAGGGCTCAACGAGCGAGGGGGCGGGCGAGTGGCGCTGAGTCTCACCTTCATGGTGCTGAGGTCCATGGGGTGCTTGATGATGTCGTGGTAGTCGTGCAGGCCCAGCATGGAAGCGTCGACGGGTTTGTAGAAGGGCCACGCGTACGCCGCGTGCTTCTTGGCAAACAGCTCCTTCAGGATGCCGTTGCAGTGCTTGAGTTGCTCCGACAGCTTCACCTGAGGCGAGCCCAAAAGCGGGGTCTCACATTAGAGCCTGCGACGCCCGCGACGCCTGTGTGGGTGGGTGCTGGTGACGCGTGCGGTCTGTAATCAGAAACTGAGAGGCGGCGACAGTCTGTCAATGGATCGCCGCACAGAACGCTGCGAAACTCCCTCATCCATGGGCGCTGACGAGGAGGCGTAACGCCGGCTCTGCCAGAAGGCGGCGCGCACACACAAAGCGTGGCGCAAATCGCCATCCGTTCAACTCCTTTCCAGTGGGCGTGTGTCGAGGCAGGAGTCGCCGCACCCTTTACGCCAGTTTCCTCCCACATGTATAAACATTAATTGGCTGAAAACACCTGAATATGTAGAGAACCATGGAGCTTGGGCGATTGTTACAGGGTCACATCATCATTATCGTTGTCAGGGTGCCAAGGCGGCTACATGTTCACTACATCGCTTGGTATACAAGAGGTCGTGGGTTCGTTCCCGACCTTGATGCCTGTGGTTGCGTGGATTTTTCTCCGGGTGCTCTGGTTGTTATCTCCACATTTAGAAACATGTGTTTTAGAGTATTTGGCTGCTATAAATGTACACGATGATGACAAGCCACTTCGTTGAGCTATCATTTGTGATCGCCAGGTCGTTTCTGAAACAGAGGTACATAGCTCAGTGGGCCTTACCTGGTAAAATAAAAGTTTATATCTTCTTGGTTCTTTCGGTAAAGTCACGTAGAAGGGAAGTAATAAAATAATAAAAATAAAACATAATAATTCTCACGACGTTTCGGCCACAACGCAAGCAGCCGTCCTCAGGTGAAGAACAGGTCTGTCAGAAAGACAGCGACTGACCTGTTCTTCACCTGAGGACAGCTGCTTGCGTTGTGGCCGAAACGTCGTGAGAATTATTATGTTTTATTTTTATTATTTTATTACTTCCCTTCTACGTGACTTTACCGAAAGAACCAAGAAGATGAATCCCTGCAGTCACGAAAGCTTTAAATCGAAATGAAAGTTTATAGTTTCATTATTATCATTAATGTGAAAGGTAAAGGTGCAGCCCTCGAATATCTTGCTCGCCGCAATGCTGGTAGAAGGGCCTGCAACACTTTGGCGTACTCTTCCACACTGGCCAAACGTCTTTGAAGGAGGAAGTGAATACCGGGAATGTAGCGATTAGTGCGCTGCGCAACGAACCCGGCGACCCGAGTTCGAGTCCCGCTCATGGCCAAGACAAGTGACGATTACCTGGGCCTTCCCCTAGGTCGACTCGGCCTCAAATGAGTACCTGGTATGATGTGTAATCATCGCCACTAGGGAGACGAGGGGCGTGGTGCTGGCCACCCACCCCCTCATGTGCAACTTTCCCCTAGTCTGTTAAGGATATACGAGGGATCTTTGTCTTTGTATACCACCACACTTGTCATAGATAAACCTATTCCTGAGCGAGCGTTGGTTGTGGCAGGTGGGCGAACAGTGGAAAACGATCGTCAGGCACCGTGTACGTAACGGGTTACCGGACAGGAGAGAACGCACACACCGCTTCACCACACACACACTCAGGGCAACAATGCTACATTCTACTTGAGCAGTAAACAAACCCGACTGTTGCCACCATTACAGTGCCTCTTAACCACAACCAACCCACACCTACAATACTTTAAACATTACCACGATTTTTGGTTTTGTGTGCCTGTCATGGCACCTACTTATGGGGCCTTCTCCCACGTGATGGGGGCAGAGCTTTCCTTAAACACCGGATGACGCCGGTTGTCAGCGCACAAAGTTGGCAACATCTTAGTTTGGGATTGTCAACGTTCCTTCTCCGCTGCTTCTGGTTTAGATGATAAACCAAACCAATTGGCGCACTTGCCCATAAAGTCACAAATCGATTTTATTAGCCATTTCAGGTGGTGGAGGGTTAGAGTCATAACAACGTGACATACCCACACAATACAACCCAAAAAAGAGCAATTACGGATCATTTCCACGATCCTAATCACCGTTCGAAAGCTTCAAGTTTCATTTACGAGGTATAGCCCCCTGTGAGCCATGCGGAGATTACAACCAGAGCACCCGATCATTACCCCTCCCCCCTTCACTCGACCCTGTTGAACACACAAGAGTGTACACTTTGCACCTGTACCTAACCTCTTTTGTCACCCCTTGCGTCTTTAGTTTACAACACCTCATTTGCTAGTTGGGCACAATTCAAGGACCCTGGCACCCCTCCTCTGCAATGTTGACGCCTACGTCTTCGTTTTGTTGTTGATGCTACTGCTGCTGCGCTCACGACACCACGGGTCTCCCTCGCACAACAGCCAGGCACAAATTTCCTAATGTACGTCAACTTGTTTCGCACCGTAACGTAGCCAACCGTGATCAAACTCGTAGGTGCGGGAAACAGTATCATCATCATCATCCACGTAGCAAAAATCAACTCAACGGTCATAAATCCGAGGCCTTTCTATGACACTTAACTGGCTTTACCTGGCACTGTCGCCCCCCTCTCCCCACCTTCTTGCTGGTCTGGTGCTGCTGCTGCGAATCCGGCAGGTCCTTGCGCGGAGGCTTGATGGGCCTGCCACTCTCCCGCCGTGCCGGGATTTTGGCGGCCTTTGAGTCGGCGGCCATGGGCTTGGCGGCCGAGGTCATGATGGTGGCGGTGATGGGCGGTAGCGCCGGGGCCACCGCGATCGGCGTGGAGGTCAGCGAGGGCACCGGCGCCAGGTACGGCGACGGAGGGGGCAGCGGCGGTGCGGTTGATGGCGTTGCCGGGCCCGGCGTGGTCGTGTCGGCCTTCCGCTTCACGCCTTTCTTTGTCTGCGACGGTCAACGGCCAACGTACATTAAAAGAAAATCGGACGGCAGACGAATTAGTTGGCCACCTAATTAAGCAACCGGTCAGAAAACCAAGTCAATTAACTCGCCAAACTATTTAACGACCCACTAGTCAACGGACTTATCAACCAGCACCAATCAAATTGCTCGCTCAAATCTTTGATCAACCACAGTCATTCACCAACGCTCGTTCGCATGACGCCCGCAATGAGCTCGTTAAGCTAAGCAGGCTTGAAGGCATGCATTGTGCTCCGAAGAGAAAACCCTGCATTCACCAAACACAGGTCGCCGCCATCGTCGCTAATCGTTACCCCCCCCCCCACCTCCGGCAGTGGGCAGTGCAGCCAAGTCCATTGCTGTACCGTACTTCTACGCTTCCAACGGCCAACCGAAGCACCGACCGATTTACAATCCGATGGCTCCCACAATCAGGAGAGCAGTGCTGGTCATATATTTATCCACCACATGGATTTTTTTCCTCCGGGTCCTCCGGTTTTCCCCTCCACATTTTTAATCAACATCACGTGTTTATAGTTATTTGGTTGCTATAAATCTCCACATGACAGTCCACTTTGTTGAGCTATCATTTGCGAGCAGGTTGCTTCTGAAAAAGCTCATAGCTCAGTGGCCCTTAACTGGTAAAAGTGTTTTTTAAGGGATTTGTTTACCTTTGCTATACTTTGCACGCCTATCGTGTTTTTGTATTGTTTGTTGTAAAGTTCCGACCCAGTGGCCCCAACTGGACATCTGTGAAAGAGCTTTATAGCTCATCGGATTCCTTCCCTAGTACACATCAAGATTCTGAATGTGAGCCACGATGAGCGAGACGGCCGCCGGCCCACCACCTCACCTTGCCGACAGGATGAGGCTGCATCACGGGAAGGGCCGCTGCGGTGGGGGTGGCGCGGGGGGGCGGCGGCTGCTGCGGCGGTGGTGGCGGTGGGAGAGGAGTTCGCACCACCGCCGGCGTTGCCGGGATCACCGGCGCCATGACTGAGGGGGACGAGGGGGGTAACAAGCGCACGATTGCCGCCGATTCGCGATCGCTTAAGCCAGGGGTCGGCAACCTTTCAAAGAAATACTTGTACACAAACACAGCAGCGGGTATACGGCAGACTCACATTCTGACTTAAATAAACAAAATAGGTAATGGAATAAACTGTATATTTAGTTTTTTTCCCCTTTAGTTCTTCTTTAACCGTTTGACTGTTGTAAACTGTTGTCACCAAGACATTCCATAGGGACCCATACCCTGCCATATTAAATCAATTATTTTTACGTACGTTAAATTACATTAAAAAAATGGTTGCCCGCAAAGGGGCAGTTAAAGAGCACACAGTAGTAGCAGCAGCAGCAGCAACATTGCCCAGTGACTGAGCAAACCTGGCAGGACCCTCTTTGGAAGGAGAGTCTTGAGACTCCTGGGTATACCAAAAGCAGAATTGTAAGAACGCTGGCCAGGATTTCCCGCACAGCACTAGCGACCAACACCACCACCGCCGCCGCCGATCGTCTCACCGGGCTTGCGTCCGATCTTGCCCTTGACGGCCTTGGGTCCCGGCGAGGCCAGCACCACCTCTTCCTGTGGCATGAGCGCCACCTTCTGCAGGAAGAGCCTTTCCAGCGTCTGTGCCATTAGCACAATGTCGTCCGTGGGCTGCAAACAAAGACAACATCAACTTGAACCTTCAACAGTGGCTGGGACAGAGTTTCTATGCGAGTCTATGAGCCTCTATGCGAGTCAATGAGTATCCATGTGTGTCTATAAGCCTCGAGTCTACGAGGCTCTGTCAACGAGTCTCTATGCAGAGCAACTGGCGCTCCTCCATCAACAAATCATCAAATGACGAGGCACCAAAGAGGCCCCAAACAACGCAGGTCAAAGTGTGCAGGCCGCTCGCACCTTGTTGTACAGGTAGCAGTTTGTGAACATGGTGTTGAAGTCCTGGATGCACTCGCCGCCGCTCCAGTAGTAGTTGTTCTCCAGGCGCCGGCGGATGGTTCCCATGTCCATTGGCTGCTTGATTATCTTGTGGTAGTCCTGCGGCAGATCGCTCCCATGTTAAAATAATCGTAATAATGACGATGTACATCTCTTTGTCAGTCCACTGTGAACGGGCGAGCCATGCGGGCGAGACTTGCGAGTTGGTGGGCGAGGCGCGTGCGTGGGGCGAGTGGGGACGTGCGTGGGGGGTAAATGGGATGTGGGAGCGGGTGAGGCGCGTGTGTGGGATGTGTGCAAGCTGCGTGCGCGGTAGCCTCTGACCGGCAGGTGGAGCGCGTTGGCGTCGACAGGCACGTTGAACGGCCACGCAAACTGGTGCTTCCACAGCGCCTTCATGACCGTGCGCTGCAGATACTGCAGCTGGTTCGTCAGCCGCCCTGGCTTGTTGGGGTTCGCCGTCTCCGGCTGCTGGGGGCTTGGTGCGCCGGCGCCGCCCTGCGAGGCAGCCGCCGGTGGCTTTCGGGCGCCGCCACCGCCGCCGACGGCCGCCGCCGTGGCAGCGCCGCGTGGCGCCGCCGTCACCGGCGCTCCCTCGAAGCCCTCGTAGAGCAGCGAGGGCTTGCGGATCCGCTTGCCCCCGCCGCTCGGTGCGTCGCCCATCACCATCCCGTTCATGCCGTTGCCAAGCTCGCCCTGTGACCTACGGGGCGGCCAAGAGAGGGGGGGGCGAGATTGAGCGCAGAAGGCGGTGCTGGACGGACACAGCCAAGGCTACCGCAAAGGGTTTCCCCGCTTGTGTGGCCAGCACCAATGCATGCCATTTGTGGCCAGGTCGCTTATGAAAAAGAAGCTAATAGCTCAGTCGGCTTTATCTGGTAAGATATTAAAAAATGTTTATGTTAAGCGATTTGTTTACCTTTCCTATACTTTGTCCTCCTATCGTATTTTTGTTTGTTTATTGCGTGTTGTTGTAACTTTCTAAGCCATTCCTTCTGGACATCTGTGAAAGAGCTTTATAGCTCATCGGATTCCTCCAGTGTGAATAAATATTCTGAAAAGCCCCATCACCAAGAAATGAGCCTTGACCTCTGGAGTACTTTGAAGGCAATCTGAAGATAACGGGCAACTCTCGTTGGTGTATCAAAATGGATCGGCTCCTGTAAATATCGCAGCTCACTGCTCCAAGATGCAGAGAAAACGGTAAGGCTTATGGGGAGTGGGCGGCGGAAGGTGGCAGGGGTGGGCACCAAAAAATGTTCTGCATCACCTTGTGACCCCAAAAGGGAATTTACAATTGTTAAGATTAACTTCGTGACCATTGGACCGTGGCATGGAGCAGAAAAAACTCGTTTTTACAGGAGGTACAAAACCTTACTTTAAGCGAGTGGCCATTGCCTTCACAGTGACAGTAATAGCGCACATAGCGCCATTGTATCATATTAGAACACACCACACACTTCCAACCCACCCACCCTCCAACAGCACTACAGTATCCCACCATCCCACACTCACACATAGCAGGCAAGCCTCTCATACACCACATTCGCCACCCTAATAACACCACCACAACCTAAGCAAGTACTGCTCACTCTCACACACACACTACTAAATGCTTTCGCACAACACACTCCTATACTCACAACCTTTATTTATACTGGAGGAATCCAGTGAGCTATAAAAGTTCCATCCCATCTGTCTCCCGAGGCCTGATGTTAACACACCCGCAGCAGGCACTCATTTAAGGTCGAGTCAAACTAGGGGAGGCCCAGGACCAGGTTAGATATTTGTCACTGATGTTTGGCCACGAACCGGGAATCGAACTCTGATTACCAGACTGGTAGCGCAATGCGCGAACTGCAAAATTACCGCTGCCCACGTACTAGCATCATCATCCCTATTGTCCTCATCATCATTATTGATATCTTCACCACCACCACAGATGTCAACTACAAACTATTTTTTTTTATTTTACCAGGTAAGGCCCACCGAGCTATGTAGCTCTTTTTCAGAAGTGACCTGGCCACAAATAATAGCTCAACGAAGTGGCTTAACACGTGTAAATGTATAGCAGCCAAATACTCTAAAACGCATGTTGTTTCAAAATCTGGAGTCAGAGAAAAATCAACATGACCACGGGGACAGACATGAAAACTCCAAATATACAGGTGTCAGGGTTTGGATCGAACCCATGACCTCCTGTATCCCAGGTGAGGTAGCTAACATCTCCTAGCCACCGCCACCACTCCCGTGATGTCTATCATCATCATCACCATTTAAATGCATGAGCAAATGCTCAGAAGTAACCCTCGTCCAAAACGAGCAGCACCCGAGCTTCCAAGTCACCGCGCCCGCCGCGAAATCACGAGCACATGGATGTACGTAGCAGGGAGAGGCACGCGTCACGCCAGCTTGGCCACACGCACACACATCCCGACGTAACTGGAGACGCTACGCACCGAGGTCACAGCGATCAACCCCACAGCCTGCACAAGGCAGTAGCAACAGCTACCCTCAGGGCAAACGGGCCACGGAACTCACACATTCCCAGTGAGCAAAGACAAAGATGCCCACCCCGTATAGCCTGCAGCACACTGTAGGAGCAAGTACTGTTAGCAAGCAGGCCGGCACGGCACACGAGGGGGGCCAACACCACACCTGACCCGTCTGTCTCCCTCGTGGCGATGTTTACACACAACATTGGGTACTCATTTGAGGCCGACTTGCCCTAGGAGAGGCGGCCCAGGACCAGTTCAGATAATCATCGTTGGTGTTGACCGTGAGCGGGAATCGAAAATCGGGTTGCTGGTTTCGTAGTGCAGCGTATTAACCACTCCACTAGCGCTCCCCACGGTGAGGTCACGCGCACACACACCGCAGGTGGTCGAAGAGACCACAAGGATTAAGTGAACTTAACGCAGCTCACCACACCTCACCTCCGCAGATCGCCAAAGAACCCAACACCACAGGTGCCCTCAGGGCACACGAGACAGTGAACGCACCCAGCTCACCACAGGTGCCCCCAGGGCACACGAGTCGGTGAACTTGCACAGCTCTCCACAGACACCAAACACCACCGATGCCCTTAGGGCACATAGGGGGCGATGGCAGCAGGGGGGGGGGGGCAGTGAGCAGACAGTGTCCTTGAAACAATGTGGGCAGCTGTAACCGTGTCCTGCATAATAAAGTGGGAATTTGATTTTATATATTTCGCACCTCCGATGAGCACAGTTCAGAATCACAAGCAGAATATTTATTCATGGGAGGAATCGGATCTAAGCTATAAAGCTCTTTTTTATAGACGCCCAGTAGAGGCGGGTCAATATGTTACAACCGTCAACAATGCACACACACACAATAGGAGTGAAAAGTATAGAAAAATGTAAACAAATCACTTGTAAAAAGTATATAAAACTCAACTATTTGTATCTTACCACAAGTGATCTTGCCACCACAAATGATAGCTCCTTTAACAGAATAAAGTGAAGCAGTGTCGAGCGTGTTGCGGGCTGTATGTTGAACTTCTTTCACACTGCACGTAGCCAGCCGTGCTAATTGGAGGTGCGGGGGGGGGGGTCAACAAACTAAACACAAAACGGAGTTCTAAAGAAATTATTTTTCTAATTTTGTATAGTCTAGTGTATAGTAGTCTAGTGTATAGTGTAGTGTGTATGCAAGTTGAACTTTCACACTGTAAGTAGTCAACCGTGCTAATCAGAGGTGCGGCGGAAGGATAACAAACTAAGCACAAAAAGCAGTTATAAGGAAATGACTTTGACTCTAACTACAGTAGCAGCGCTGGATTTTATGTTGCGGGACATGTCTTGTGTGATTTTTCGGCGACATCGGTGGGGTTTAATTAAAGTGTATGCTTAACATGGATTGGCAAAGTAGATTATTTAAACAAAACTATTTTAATTTGACCAGGTAAAGGTCCACCGAGCTGTGTAGCTCTTCTTTAGAAGCGACCTAGCCGCAAGAGACAGCTCAACGAAGCGGCTGATCACACGGTGTCGAAAACTATAGCAGCCAAAGTACTCGAAACGCATTAATGTTGATTCTAAATGTGGAGAGAAAACCCGGAGGAAACGGAGAAAAATTCACGACCACAGGCAGAACATGCAAACTCCAAATATACAGCAGGCGTCAGTCGGGATCAAACCCACGACCTCTTGTATACCAAGCAAGGTAGTTAACATCTTGCCACCGTGGCGCCCATTAAAAGCAATACAAACAATATTACATGCAGAAAATGGGATGGATTTTGGTCTTTACATAAACGGGATTTTTCGCCATGCATGTATTTAGTTTGTCCTTCCCCGCACCTATTAGCACTGTTGGCTTCGTACATTACAAAAGGTCAACGTATGTATGCACATAAGTACGGTGCGAAAGAAGGTCAACATGCATACAGGCTAGATTTGAAGCTTTCGTGACTGCAAGGATTCATATTCTTAGGTTCTTTCGGTAAAGTCGTGACTTTACCGAAAAAACCTAAGAATATGCATACAGGCATCCCCTCCCACTTACATAGACTCGGTAATTGGCTCAAAAAATCTTCAAATAAAAACCCAATGAAAAAAAAGAGTCGCGTGACTCAGCGTGGATCTCTGGGATATAAATAAATACTTGTTATTATTGAGTAGATGGGATTAGATCAGGGCACCCCACCCATTAAATTAGGTCGGCACTGAGTAACCAGTAGTCGTTCTTTCGTAGTGGCCAGCTGACCGCCACTGCCATTTCGGTACCCAACACATGACCATGCACGTGAATGGAATACCATTTCCATGCTGCGCAACTATTTCACTCGCAGTCGTGGGAGACAATTGAGATGTGCGGCTTCGATAGCGACTTTGGTTGCGCAACATTAACCGGTCGCTCAGGTGTGGAGCGGTTTAAACCTCCACACGTTTCCCCCTCAAGAAGGTCAGTTTGACAAAATATCCAGATCTTCTGTCAATCCCTTTACGTGTCACGAGTGTTATTTCTAATGAGTCACCGTAAACAAAATCCGTTATGATTTTGTATTATAAAAATGGGGTGGAGCAGCGGCACAGTTGTTATAAAACCAGCTACCCGAGTTAGATTCCCTGCCATGGTTAACATCAGTGGATGGTCATATTCGAACCGGTCCCACCTCCTCACCTATCCCTGGCCTGCCCGAACCAGCGTGAAGTACGGTCATACAACCCTCATGGCCATCACAGCGTGGGGAGGCCTTCATCCAGTGGACTAACAAAAGGGGCAGTCATTTCTTATTCAATTTATTATTTTGAATAACCCGTTACATTGTGTCTAAGTTTAATCGCAAAAAACAACTTTACACGACCTTGCAAGATAACTTAAAAGCGTAACGTTCCAGGTAATAAATAGCCTTTCTTCAGACAGAGTTGAACAAATGTGCAAGTCTGCTGCCATCTCTACTTGTGAACCACAACGTAATTAGCTATTACAGATCCACTGCTGGATTAAGTACTCTCCAAGTTGCCACCATCTCTCGTGGCTGGGAATCTCACTCAGGCGAGGTCAAATCTCTTTGAAATCTGAACTCACAAGACCAGGAATGTAGCGCATTTTCAAGAGTGAGCCGTGTTACCTAGATAATGAAATTGAGCAATTGCACAAATATATATCAATATTAAACAAAATAATTCTCCCGGAATGCAAATTGGCTGGTGGGGGAGGGGGGAAATTGAAACT